GAGAAGAATGCAGAAGTGGAGGCCTATGTCATGTAGTTTTAGAGAGGAACAAGAACTTTATTGGAATCTATTTAAACTGACATTGGATTCAGGGAAAGAGAGAAGCAACTGAATTGCCAGCTTCTGTTCTTTCAGTCTAGTACAAAGCCTGCTCATTCTTGTGCATGTCCAAATGACCACAGTGTTAGACAGCCTCATTCATGAAGAAACTGGTGGGGAACACAGAGACAACAATGACATATGAGGGACACCCTGCTGTCTCCTCCTACATTCTTAAATTTAAACCAAGGCCAACATAATGCTACCCATTTGTAAGTGTAGATAATAGTTTTTCTTTCTATCTTTTCACAGATGGAAGACATGTCAGCAAGCAGTAGCTAGAGCAGAAAGCTGAGTGATCATACCTTTCCCCACAGCATGATGCAGAGAGAGAAAACTACACCTCTCAAAGCCCAGCCAGGGACTAACTTCCTCAGCAATGATACACTTCCTGAATGTTCCCTCAAACAATGCTACTAACTGTATTCAATAAGGAGAATATGAGGAACATTCTCGTTCAAACTACCACAGACCTATAATAACATAATCAATATTCAAATTGGAACCGTATCCTGTATTCTTACCAAAATGTCATAATGCCAGGAATTAGACAATAAAAAGCTGAGCAAATTTTTCATTTTTTTATTCTACAACACTGTTTTATTCTTCCTCAATGCCTTTTTAAATTTTTTATTGTTGAAAATGCCATACATGTACACAATGAAATATATTTAGCCCTAGTTTCCCTCATCATATATATATATATATATATATATACTCCCCAACAAGCTCCTCTTCAAACTCCATGACTTTTTTTTAACCTACTAAGTACAGTTAGTGATACCTACATGTCCATGATGGAGGCATCCACTGGAGCATTGGAAACTTACCACTAGCCATGTCCTTAATTAAGAATGATTATCTCATGGGGTTGGAGAGATTGCTTAGCAGGTAAAAACAATGCTTGCTCTTCCAGATGATTTGGGTTCAATTACCATAACCCACATGGCAGCTCACAGCTGTCTGTAACTTCAGTTCCATGGGTCCTGAAACACTTACACAGACATACATGCAGGCAAAACACCAATGTACATAAAATCTTAAAAACTAAAAATGAATGATTATCCCTTTTTTATATCTCTCTCCTATAGTAAACTACAAATTAAATATCCAATCCTTCCTGTATTTCTGAACCCATAAACTACATAAACAGTATTCTAACATACAGAACACTTCAACTTTACAATAGTGTAAGTTGTAACCTCATTTCATAGGTGTAATTCAATCTGTTGCAGGAAATTATTACATCAGACATTTTTACTGGACTTGGCACTCAAGCCAGGTAAAATCCACTGTGACCAAAACCAGAGAAGAGGGTGATAATAAGATCTTCAGTGTCTTCACACTTGCTCACATACATATATCTAAAGCTTGTCAATGTGTCTTTGATACCAATCTATGCAGGTCTATGTTCTCAAGGACAAATCTCACTAGTGTCTAGAACATGTTAAGGTTCCTTCTACACCAAGAAAGAAAGAAAAAAAGAAAGAAAGAAAAAGAAACAAAAAAGAAAGAAAGACTCAGTGCATCAAGATTCAGACAGGAATAGAGCCTTACTCAGAGCTTACTATATAAAAGCAACATACACACTCTCTTTGATCTCTCTGACCGTACAAGTTTTGTGGTTGTTGCTGTTTCATCCAGTTCTCACACTCTCACTTTGATCCTTCCTTTAGCTCATGATAAATGTAATTGTTTAATGTGGGTGTGTGGTTGCAGCTGAGAAAAGCAATGCAGTGAGAGCTATAACTAAAACACAGTTATATAACTATAACTATAAAGTTAGTTTCTAACTTACAACTTTCTCAAGACAATTTTGATGACTTTTTCAGTTCTGTTTTGTTAGTGCATTCCAAATATGATATCCAAATATCTTGAAAGACTAAAGAAAAAGAAGTATATTACTAAATCTAAGGGACATTTGTTAATGTATGAAACATTTTCATGTATTGATACATAATAAAAATCAGAACCAGTGAATGAACTTGTGGGAAATTTTCAGTGAGCTCCAGGGTGAATATGCTAAGTGAGGGGACCATTTCGGCACTACGACTTACAAAGTAGTAAATGGAGATACTTACGGTAGCACAAGCCTGTAATCCCATATCTCAGGATGGTGAAACAGGAGATGACAAATTTTAGGCCAGCTTAGGCTCCAAAATAAAATTCTGCCTCAAAAATAAATCAATTAATGAAAATATATACAGGAAAGCAATGAATGAGACAGTTAACTGAGCAAAGAGACAATTGCAAATGAGAGAAAATCTTGTGAGCTAGTCATCTGACAGAGGATTGACCCACTAGACAATAAAAGCAATCAACCAAAAATGAGCTATAGAACTGAACAGAGAGTTCTCAAAAGAAAAAATATAGATAGCCAATAAAAGAAGCATTGAAAACTCTTAGTCATCAGTGAAATGAAAGTTAAACTAATTTGATAATCATCTCACCCCATCCAAAATAGCAATCATAAAGTAATCAAATGACTGCAAATGCTGGTGAAGATGCTGGGAAACAGCGAACCTTCATTCACCATGGGCATTAGCACAAACTGATGTAGCAACTATGGAAATCAATGTGAAGCATTCTCAGAAATCTGAAAGAGGAAGTGTAGGGTCCAGCTTTGTAATTTTTGGATATTTATCTGAAGGACTCCATACACTACAAAGAGATAACTACTGAACAATGTTTGTTACTTCTCTAGTCAAAACTTCTAGAAAACGAAGCCAGCCTAGATGTTCATCAACAAAAGGATGGATAAGGAAAATTTGGTGGAGATTTTATAAATACATATGGAACACAGTCAAAAGAATAACACATGGTGAACAGAGCCTTGAGGAACTATGAGAGAGGCTGCAGGAAAAAAAGGCAGAGGGTCTTTGTTTTGTTCACTGGACTGTTCTTGGACATGATATCATGCCTCCTGTGTTAAACATTTACATTCAATTAATAAGACATGTTTAGATCTTATAGCTATGACTTGGATGTCAGATCATAGCTACAGAACCCAATCTGGTCAATGTACCCTGAACCTGGTTGTGGCTTCTGCCTTGCTTTCATGCTTTCCCAGATATGTATGTGCCAGGCAATTGTGTTTAAATTGGTCTGTTCTGATCTCAATGTCCCTTGCTCATAGAATCCCTCCTCTCTCTCATCAATTAAACTCCTGGAGCTTGGCCTGGCACCTGGTCGTGAATCTCTGCATCTGCTTCCATCAGTTCCTGGATGAAGGCTCTATGATAACAGTTAGGGTATTCACTAATCTGATTAATGGAGTAGGCCAGTTCAGGCACCTTCTTAACTATTGCTAGTAGTATAACGTCGGAAAATGTACAGAGATGACCAGCCAAACTAGTGGAAATGCATGAACTGTGGACCAAAATCTGTGGAGCCCCCATGGTACTGGATTCCCTTTGGATAGGAGAGACAGTTGTTTAGCTTGAACAGTTTAGGGGGCTCCCCTGGAAGTGAGATCAGGATCTGTACCTGGTGAATAGGCTGGCTTTTTGGAGCCCAGTGCCTATGGTGGGACACCTTATGCAGCCTTGGTGCAGAGGGAAGGGACTTGGACCTGCCTCAACTGAATGTACCAGGCTCTGCTAATTCCCAATGAAAACCTTGCCTTGGAGGAGGTGGAAATGGAGGGTGTATTGGAGTGAAGGCTGGGGAGTGGGAGGAGACAAGAGAGGTGGATCTGTGGTTGGTATGTAAAATGAATAGAAAATTTCTTAATAATAAAATTTTTAAAAATTGGTCTGTCCTGAGAAAGTTCTGAGAAAGTGCTCCTCTGCTAATATTTAGTATGTGCTTATTGACATTTGCTTACATTTTTTCTGATCATGTTTTTATGAACTCAAACAACCTTCCTTGGATCATTGTTTTCTTTGTTACATTTGTGTATAAAAGTAAAATAAAAGTGAAGTAAGCTTGTCTACAGTATTAGACTGTAGTCCACCCCATTCTTTCAGGTCCTCCAATCCCAGGTCCAACAAATTAAACATAGGTCTGCCAAAAAGTCAAATATATATATATATGTATATGTATATATATACATATATATGAATATTATTCATCAATAAATGAAATGAAATAATAGAATTTGCATGAAAATGGATGCAGTTGGAAAATTCTATACTAAGTGAGTTATTCCAGCCTCAGAGAGACAAACACATGTAAACCTTTGTTTCTACTTTTTATCTGTATGTATTCATATGACTATGACTGTGTGTAGATGCTGGGAAGCTAGAAAAATAAATAAAAGGAGGCATTAAGAAAGATGAGTGTGAAGATAACAGAACATATGATATGGAAGTGAAAGGGGGGATACTGGGAGCAAGAAGGTGTCAGTAAGCATGGGGACTAAGGAGATGGCAGAGGAAATTAGCTTGGGGAAGGGTATATATGAAATTGCTATAGGAAAAAGTGCTACTCTGTAAGCAAGTTTTTCAAAATTAGAAAACAAATATTTTTAATTGAAAGGTTTTAAAAAGCAAGTAAGTCACACTCCTGTAGAGGCGATGGTGGTCTTTATGACATGGCATGAGGTAAGTCTCTTTGTCATGTGCATGTCGTCCAACATGAAGAGTGTGTACATTCTTGTAGAACCATCAACATAGAAGAGAAGAGGAGAGGAGAGGAGAGGAGAGGAGAGGAGAGACGAGACGAGACGAGACGAGACGAGACGAGACGAGACGAGACGAGAAGAGAAGAGAAGAGAAGAGAAGAGAAGAGAAGAAAACTCTTTCAGCCAAACCAATAGTGTGCCTTTCCCTTTAGGACTGGTTATTGTCAAAATGTCAATATATTTTCCCAATCAAACAAGCCCTCTTTACTCTTGCTCTTAATTCCCATTGCCTACAGAATAGAAACAGAATTTCCCCAGCCTGAGATCTGTGCTCTATCTAAAACCTTGACAGGCCCAGTAGGTTTGAGTGCAGGCTGCAGGTGCCTGGGGAGCACTGTGTGCTCACTGCACAGAAGTAGACAGCTGAGTCACTGGGCTGGGAGTCTCTGATGTGCAGGGAAACAAGCAGGCTGGCTTTGTTGAGATGAACTGTGAATCTGCCTTCTTCCTTTTCACCATTGGAGAAGATGGACATCAGTGCCTTGGGGCCTTTCCCAGGTTGTTGTTTGTACCACCAGAAGGACTGAGAAGCACTATCAGTGAAAGTACAGTTGAGAGAGGCCATGGCTCCCTGTGGGACACTGAGGGATTCCGGGTTCTGTTGCACCTTCTGCTGGCTGCTCACCCCTGTGCAGAAAGGCAAAGGTCAGACAAACAGGATTGGATGCAGACACCCCAGAATGGCTTTTCATGGGCTTCTCACTCCCTAACTAGAGATTGAAAATGGAATTTTCTACCATCAGCTTTAGTGAGCAGCAACTTTACATATCACACATGTATCCCACAGGAATTCCCAAACTTACAGTTTAACTGAAGCCACAGCACCACTACAGAAACAATCAAGGACTTCATCCTCTCTTCCTCCCTCTTCACTGAGGAGTCAGATTCTCAACTCTAAACTCATGGAGTCACATCAAAAGTTTCCACATCTCCTGCTTAAGGAAACATGAAAAGCAGCTTTGTTAGCAATCAGAAAAGTGACTCTTCACCACCTCAGCAGCACCAAGCCTTTCCTAGAACCCTTTCTGAACCCCCTCCCCTTCTTCCTGCCCCTCCCCTCTTCCCCAATTCTCTTTCACTTGAGCACTTTGCTCAGGATCCCTAAGAAAACACTGCCACCTTGTGGGCTCATGATAGTAACCAAAGAAATACTCAAGCTACAAACTCTTCTAACCTAACTATCAAAAATAAAGCCCTTGAGAGTTCAGTAGGTGTTTTGAAGAGACACGTGCTCCAAGTCAGGTGGGGAGTGAGGTGAGCACGTGTGTGCACACTCAGCACGTTATCCTCTTCCATAGATATCATACACAGGCAGTCACCTGCACTGAAAAATCACCTGTGAGATGTCTGCATTGAAATCTGAGTGTGGTTCTTTCATACAGCATAGCTCCAACTATTGTTACTCCAGACACTCTCATTCAAATCTGTCTTCAAGTTTTACAAATGTCCTAGACAAACTGGTTATCTTGGCCAGCACCTAGAAAGGCCTGGAATTCATTCCATTTTTTACTGGGAGCACATTTGTGTCTAAACAGAACATTACTTGTATTGGACTAGGAGAGATGGAGCTGTGTTCAGTACCTCATCTCCAAATAAAACCTAAGAAACTTTTTTGTTTATCTAATTTTTATTCTCCTTTCTTGAGTGAAGTCCTGTTGTGTAGTGAGTGATCTGTGATAGTTCTAGATCTAATTTCTCTCACTTTCCTTCTTTCTGACACAGACTTCCCTCTCCATTTCTCTGCTTTCTTCCTTTTCTCTTCTTCCCTAATATTTTCACTTTCTCCCACTCACCATTCCTAACACAGTCATCAAGCCTTGTGTACGCAGGGAACATTTATGCCAGAGCTAAACTAGGTCCACATAGAAACAAGTCAGGAAACAACCATCCTGAAGCAGACTGTGAGACCTCCACAGCCAGTAAAGTAAAGATCTAAGAGAGGCAAGAAGGCAGTTTGGTTCAGCACAGATAAGGACCAGGCGGTGGTTCACACTTTGGCAGACTGATCATGAGTAGTTTATATTAAGCATATTTCAGTGCAACAAAATTTGGTGAAATGTTTCTAGTGAATGTTAACTCTTTTTATTTATTTTTATTAATTAATTAGCTAACCAATTAAGTGTTCCCAGCCTGATCACAGATCCCTCCTCTCCTTTTAGTCCCACCCAACAACCTCCTCTCTCCCCACACCCCAATCCTGTGTGGTGCACCATAAAGCATACATAAATTGCCTTGAGACACAAGGTAAGTTAAATAAAGATTGGAAGTGACAACATTGAAACTCTTTGTAAAGTACATGGGACACCTTCCATAAAGATGGGTTCAATATATTAGCTGAGAAAAACAACCTTATGTTAAGAGTAAATGGGTTTGAAGGTGTGAATTCTAAGGACTCTGGCCACAAAGATAGCACACAGGTTACCAGGCTTTTCACCACTTTGGCTCCCAGCCTTCTGAGGAGACAACAGATTATGCATTCCTTCCTTTGAAGCAACAACCCTGTACTTTTCACACTCCAGATTGCCTCTAGTGATATCTGTGAGCACAAGGACCTCTGTGCCTCCTACTCTGTCCCACAATGAGCTTTCAGACCTTGCAGAAGCTGGTAACTAAAGACCTTTTCCTATTCAAGAGCCATGGATAAGCATACACAAAACATGGTTTGATCATGCCCTTCCTTTGGCATCAAGTACAAAGGGAACAGAATGAGGGAAAGATGCTCAGACTCAAACTGTTTTCTGCAAGAGTGCATTGTCCATGACAATAATAACAACACTCATTTCTCAGTAAATGTAAAATTATAAGAAGGAGGTAATCATAGTGTCACATGATTATAATCCCCGAAGGGATTCAGGTTTGGGAGGCTGAAGCAAGAGAATGTGAGCTTGAGACCTGCCTGAGACATATAGGGAGACCTTGTCTCAAAAAATCTTAAGGACAAGAGACAAGAATGAAGAGAACAAGCACAGTGGCCTTGGAAAATGTCAAAAAAAAATGTGAAACTAAATTTGAAGCACAGTTTTATAAGATACACACCTCCCTGTAAGAGAATTCCAATAAAATGTGAAGGACTGGATTAACAGTTCTCATGGAAGAGCAAGAAGATGACCTATGAGACACACAGCACTTTCCTGCATCACTGTGAACCTGAAACAAAGCATCAAGTGTGTGGCTGCCAGGTGAGGAGAGCAATATGCAGAAGTGTGGAACAATATGCAGAAGATGTAAACAACAGAGCCAGATCAAATCCCCCTTGCTAAGCTGTAAACCATAAAGTAAACTAAGGATCCTAACATTGGCTGCACAGTAGGAGAGGAGAGGCTTCCCTTGATTGGGCCTTAAACAAAAGTCTCAATGAGATCCACAGGTGCGTAATCTGACACTCTGTAAAGATACAACTTAAGAAGAGAGATCTGTGATCCTCACAGCAAGTAGAAACTGGAGAATGAGCCCTCTCTACTTACTAGCTTGTTCACTGGGGCCATGGTGGAGAATATTCTTTAGAAACGACTTACTGTTTATATCCAACCTCAAGGCCCAGCCCAATCCTTATACACCAGCACAGCCTGCCCTCTATGCCTGACCATTCCTGTGCCCTCCCCAATCCCCAGACCTACCCAATATCCACAACCAGGGACCTAGTGGAGACTACTGAGTCCCACTTGTGACTTCGCCAACCTCTGAGTTTCATTCAGGTGAAAAATCCTGTGTACCAGCTCAGCCTACTGTATCATCACAAAACACACAACCAGTCAAAGAAGTCTACATGCCCAAGTCTAATCACAAAAACACAAATAATATGAAAGGTCAAAACAGTATGTTTCCAATCACCCATATCCAGAATTACCTAGATGAACCTCAGAACATAGAACTTAAAAGAACAATCATAAACTTCATTAAAGAATTCATGTAGTTCAAAACAGACAAAAGCAGCTCCATGAGATTAAAGAAAATTATCTTAAATGAAATAAATGCTTGAGTGATGCCCAAGAAAACAAAATATAAGGCTGAACAAAGTAATGAAGACAATCTCGGATTTGAAAACTGAATTCAATAGATAGACCTATTGAAGATAATTCAAGCTGAAATGAAGATAGAATTAAAAAGCTTAATGGGCCACTGTGAAAACTCCAGGAGAAGCCTTCCAAACATAATGGATGAATAGAAGACAGACTATCAGAGTTCAAAGATAAAGCAAAGGATATGAAAAACATTTTTCAAACACATGAAATGAACATTCATGAACTGTAGGGCACCATAAAAAGGCTCATGTTAATAAAGCTGGAGAGAAGGTTTTACAGTTCAGAATGCCAACTGCTCTTCCAGAGGATCTGGGTTCAATTCCACACACCCATATAATGGTTCACAACCATCTGTAACTCCAGTTTTAGGGTATCTGACATCCTCTTTCTGCCTCTGTGGGTGCCAGGCACATACACACATGCAGGTAAAGAACACATACACACCAAACAATAATTAATAATAATTTGAAAAACCATGTCTTCAAATCATAACTATAGATGGAGAAGAATCTCAGGTCAGCAGCATAGAATGCCTCTTCAGAAAGATCATAGAAGAAAACTTCCCTAAATAAAAAAAAAAAGACAAACCTATACAGATACAGGAACTGCATGAACATCAAATGAACAAGAAAACAAAAGAAATTCTCCCCACAGAGTATCATACTTGAAACACTAAACATAAAGAACTAAGGAAGAGTATTGAAAGCTGCAAAAGAAAAACACAAGTTCTATCGAAAGGACAATCTATCATTACAACACATGATTTCTCATAGAAACGTTGAAGGCTATCAGAGACTAGAACAAAGTGTGCCAACTTCTAAAAAAAACTCTACATGCCAACCTAAGCTACAGTTCCCAGCAAAACTATCCAGAATATAAACAGACTAAAAGAATTCATATCCATGAGACCATACATGCAAAGAATACCGGAAGCAATACTTCAAGCTGAGGAGATGTAGAAACAAGGCCAAGAAAGTATAGAAAGAAAAATAAATGGAGCAATAATTATGGATGCCTAAAGTTATGACTAAGGTCACAAATAGTAAAAATACAACAAAATGATTGAAGTCCATACACACCTTTCAATAACAATCCAGACCCAGAACGGCAAAGGTCACATGTTCTCTCTCATCTGTTGTTTTGAGCTCAAAATCTGCAGATATGAGTTTTAAATGAAAATAATTACAGGCACCAGCAAAGTAAAAGGGACCATGTGAGGGGAGATCTAGAGAGGGGAATAGTGGGATATAGGTGATAAGAAGGAGGAAATGGGAAAAATGAGGAGGGAGTTTGAATTGAGAAAGAGAAAAGGATGTCAATACAGAAGCGGAGGGAGGGAGGAGAGACAGAATAAATGATGTTTGATAAAGTCTCAAATTGTATTATATGTTCACTTTAAATTATAAGCACACACATATCTTAATTTATGCCACTTGTGCTGACAATTCTCCCACAAGAGCCATAGACCATCTAACAAAAACATGGTTTGGTTATTTCTTCCCATCTACTCCCTTCAAAGTTATTTCTTCATTTTATTCTAGAGCTATCATGTGTGCTGTTAAATTGCTACTATAAAATTCCTCCTTTTTTAATTATGTAGGCACTTAGTGCTATGAACTTAACTCTTAGATCCAGTTCATTATATCCAATCAGTCTAGTTTATTTTTTGTTTGGGGACCTGTCTATGGTGAGAGTAGGGTATTAAAGTTTCCCACTAACAGTGTGTAGATGTCAATGTATGACTTAAGCTGCAGCAGTGTTTCTTTTTAACAAACTTGGGTGGCCAAGTTTTGGGTGCTTAGATGCAACAATAAAAATTGCAACATCCTC